TTTGCCAATTCTTTCAGTGCAGCTTTGACTTCTTCCTTCTATACCACTGGTTCTTGATCATATGCCACCTCCTGAAATGGATGAACGTCAACCAATTCTTTTTGGTACAGTGACTCTGTGTATCCCTTCCATCTTCTTTTGATGTTTCCTGCATCATTCAATATTTTGCCCATAGAATTCATCAATAGTGCAACTCAAGGCTTGAATTTTTTCTTCAGCTCTTTCAGCTTGAGAAATGCTGAGCGTGTTCTTCCCTTTTGGTTTTCTAACTCCAAGTCATTGCACATTTCATTGTAATAATTGACTTTGTCTGCTCGAGCTGCTCTTTGAAATCTTCTGTTCAGCTCTTTTATCTCGTCATTTCTTCCATTTGCTTTAGCTACTCTCCATTCAAGGGCAAGTTTCAGAGTCACTTCTGACTTCTATTTGGTCTTTTCTTCCCTTCCTGTTTTTTAATGACTTCTTGCTTTCTTCGTGGATGGTGCTCTTGATGTCATCCCATGGTTCATCAAGTCTGTTCTTTAGAAGGTCTCTAAATTCAGATGGGACATAATCAAGGTCATATTTTGGCTCTCATGGACATGTTTTAATTGTCTTCAGCTTCATCTTGGACTTGTAAATGAGCAACTGATGGTCAGTCAGCTCTTGGCCTTGTTTTGGCTGAAGATACTGAACTTCTCTGTCGCCTCTTGCCATAGATGTAGTCAATCTGATTCCTCTGTATTCTATCTGGTGAGGTCCATGTGTATAGCTGCCATTTGTGTTGTTGAAAAAAGATATTTGCAATAAATAAGTCGTTGGTCTTGTAAAATTCTATCATGCAGTCTCTGGTGTCATTTTTGTCACCAAGGCTGTATTTTCCAACCACCAGTGATTCTTCTTTGTTTCCAACTTTCACATTCACCAGTGATAATCAATACATCTTGATTGCATGTTTGGTCAATTTCAGACTGCAGAAGCTGGTAAAAACTTCCATTTCCTCATTCTGGGCTTTAGTGATTGGTGTGTAAATTTGAATAGTAGTAGTATTAACTGGTCTTTTGTGTAGACGTATGTATCCTATCACTGACAGTACTGTATTTCAGCATAGATCTTGAAACATTCATTGTGGCAGTGAATGCCACACTATTCCTCTTCAATTTGTTATTCCCAGCATGGTAGATGGTCTTGATTGTCTGATTCAAAATGGCCAAAACCAGTCCATTTCAGCTCACTAATGCCTAAGATATCAATCTTTATGCATTCCATTTTACTTTTGACAACTTCCTGTTTTCCTACATTCATATATTGTACATCATACATTCCATGTTCCGATTATTAATGGATGTTTGCAGCTGCTTCTTCTCATTTTGAGTTGTGCCCCACCAGCAAACAGAGGTCCCAAAAGCTTTACTCCAACTGTGTCATTAAGGTGGACTGTACTTTGAGGAGGCAGCTCCTCCCCACTTGTATGTTGAGAGCCTTCCAACCTGAGGGCTCATCTTCTGGTACTATGTGGGACAGTGTTTCAGGCTGTTCATAAAGTTTTCCAGTAATACATCAGACAGTGTTTCATGCTGCTCATAAAGTTTTCACTGGCCAATTTTTTTTTTTTTTTTTAATTTTCATTGTGGTGAAAACATACACAGTAAGACATTTGCCAACATAACAGCTTCCATGTTTACCGCGCAGGAAATCGATGACATTTTTCATGTTGTGCCACCATTATTGCTATCCTTTTCCAAAATATTCTACCACCATTAGCATAAACTCAATGCCCCCCCCAAACAAAAGCTTCCCCTTTTCCCCTCCCTCCTACCCCTGATAACTACTAATAATCTTTGGGGGATATACATACATATATACATACGTGTATATATACATGTACGTTTATATATATGTTTATATATATTTACACACACACTCATAGCCTTCCCCCCAACCTATCTATGAATTTACCTTCCCACCCCTGGTAACCAACAGAGTTCCCTCCCTTCCATGTATAAACCATTCCTTGGCTTTTATAATAACGGACTAATACTGTATTTGTTCTTCTGTGGTTGACTTATTTGACTCAGCATAATGTCCTCCAGGTTCAACCACGTTATGTGGTGTTTTGTAGAGTCTACATTATTCCTTAGGGTTGTACAGTATTCCATTGTGTGTATGTACCATAGTTTGTTTATCCATTCCTCTGTTGATGGGCACTTAGGTTTCCATCTCTTTGCTATTGTGAATAGTGTGGCAGTGAACATAGGTGTGCATATATCTGTTTGTGTCCTGGCTCTCACTTCTTTAGGATATATACCTAGTAATGGGATTGCTGGATCAAATGGTATTTCTAATTCTAACTTTTTAAGGAGTCACCATACTACTTTCCATAGTTGTATCATCTTACAGTCCCACCAGCAGTGTATGTGAGTTCCGGTCTTGCCACATCCTCACCAGCATTTGTTATTTTCTGTCTTGTCGAACTTTGCTATTACTGCTAGGGTGAGATGATATCTCGTTGTTGTTTTGATTTGCATCTCTCTAATCTGGCCAATTCTTTGAGAAGCAGATCGCCCCTTCCTCCTTCTGAGTCTTCCTTAGTCTGGAAGCTCCGCTGAAACCTGTCCACCGTGGTGACCCTGCTGGGGTTTGAAATACTGGTGGCACAGCCTCCAGCCTCACAGCAACACGCAAGCCACCACAGTGCAACAAGCTGACAGACAGGTGGTGGTTTCACATATAGTTTTCATACATTCTTTCTTGTTTATATAAATTTTTAAAAATCCTTCAGTGTTGAAAATGCAACTCCAAGAATATATAAATTCTAATGGAAGGTGAATTTGCTGTGCAAACTTTTACCAAAATCACAATAAAGTTTTTAGGGTTTTTTTTTTTAAAGTGTATGAATTCTTTTGAAGTATAAAGTTTTCCAGTAGCTTAATTAGGAGAACAAGTCTCATGTAAAATTTGATTCTTCAGTTTTGCGTTGCCTCCTGCCCCATCGACCGTAAAGGAGTTCCAGCTGGTGCCACTGGGTGACCTCCTGTGACTGAGCAGAACTGGGTTCCACAGGGCTTTTGGGGCATCTTTTTTTTTTTTTGGAAGCAGATTGCCAGGCCTTTTTCCTTCAGAGAGCCTCTGGGTGGGTTCAGTGCATTGCAAATGGTGTGCGTGTTCCAGCCAGGCTCCTCAGGTAGAACTGAACCCGGTCTTTGTGATGACACAGTTGAATTTTTCTGGGCCCATCCTTCGATCTTTTTTAGAACAAGACGTCTACAGAGCAATGCCGACTTGAAGGGTGTTTGACTCACACTGGTGACTGCCTAGCTCAGCCCATCCTCATGTGTCTGTACGGGAGGGCAAGGCTCCGTTCTCAGAGTGGCATCAACGGGCAGCAGTTGGGGTGTGAAATGAACAATGGTGTTCTAAGAGTTGGGCTCTTTTTGTTTTCTCTCTCTCTCTTTTCTGTTTCTTGTTCACAGGGCATGTTCTCAGAAGGACTTATGCATGGACAAGGGACATATACTTGGGCTGATGGATTGAAATACGAGGTAAGCATAAAACAAGTTAGAGTTCTAATCTGTAATTGTGAAAAATTAATGCTCAGGTTTCCACAATTAAGCAGACTCTTTACAAAACAGTAATTGGGTACACGAGTTATAAAATATGACAGAAGCAAAGAATACAGGTGAAAGTAACCCCTGACTGCACTGGACCCTGTGGTAATGTTTTTACCAGTTTTGTTAGAACATTCTGGAGTGTTCTGTCTTCTGTGCACATATATGCACACATACATGTATTTACCCCTGTTCTTTCTCTAAAATTGGTGTTGGGTGCCGCTGACTCAGTTCCGATTCATAGTGACCCCGCGTACGACGGATGCAATGCCGCCTGGTCCTGTGTCATCGTCACGCTTGGCTGTGCTTGAGCCCAGCGTGGCAGCCACTGTGACGTTCCATCTTGTTGAGGGCCTTCCCCTCTTTGGTTGACTCTTCGCTTTACCGAGCTCCGTGTCCTTCCAAGGACTGATCCCTGTGACCGCGTGAGCACAGTGTGTGACATGAAGTCTCCCCACCCTTGCTTCTAAGGCGCATTCTGGCCCCACTTCCTCCGGGACGGGTGTGTTTGTTGTTCTGGCGGTCTGTGGTGTCTTCGGTATTTTTCACCAGCACCACAGTTCAGAGGCATCGGTTCTTGGTCCTTCTTGTTCACTGTCCAGCTTTCCCGTGCATGTGAGGTGATTGAAAACACCATGGCTTGGGGCAGGTGCACCTTAGTCCTCAAAGAGACATCCTTGCTGTTTAACGTTTTAAAGAGGTCTTAGCTTTTCTTTTCTAGAGCAGCTTAGGTCTGCAGGAAAACTGCACACGGTACAGAGAGTTCCCACGTAGGAGCTCTCCTGTCTCACGGTGGTACATTGTGACGGTTGATGGACCAATATTGACACATTGCTGTCATCTGAGGTGTGTACTTTACACGTAGTTCACTCTGTGTTGTGGAGTCCATGCATGTTGACAGATGCATAATGTCACATATCCACCATGACAGTGTCACAGAGTAGCTACCCTGCCCTCAGGATGCCCTGTGCCCCCTGTTCATCCCTCCCCACCCCCCAAAGCCCCTCCAATCACTGGTCTTTTCACTTTGTCTCTGTAGTTCTGGTGCAGGGGTTACAGCTTTTGGCTGCCCACCAAAGAGTCAGAAGTTTGAGCCCACCAGCAGCTCCATAGGGGAAAGGGGAGGCAGTCAGCTTCTGTGAAGACTGACAGCCTTGGAGACCCTGTGGGCAGTTCCACTCTGTCCTCTAGGGGCGCTGTGGGTCAGAATCGACTCAACCACAGTGGATTTTTTTTTGGTTTTATCTCTTCAGAATGCCCTCTAGGCGGGGTCATGCCATATGTAGCCTTTTCAGATTGGCTTCTCTCACTTAGCCATGAGCATTTAAGGCTCTGAGCGTTTTTCACAGCTGGATCACCTATTTCTCAGTATGCTGATTAATACTCCGTGGTGGGGCTGCCACAGTCTGTCCACTCATTCCTTTTTCTTTCTAGAAACAAACAGTTCATTACACACTCTCTTCTGTATCTTTTCTTATGGGAACTGAAACCGTATCTGTTCGTACGGAGTCAACTATTTTACGTGGGTTTCACTTAACTCTTGCTGGGTGGAAGAAAACACATATGTATTTCCAGGTCACTCACTAGGACCAAATTGGTCTCCAAAGACATGGTGCCAGTTTATCTCCCACCCACCAGATATGTGAGGACAAAACGGGTTCAGAACCCCCAAGTGCAGAGCCACTAGCTCTTGGTGTTGAGTGGGAGTGAAGACATTTAAAACACATCCCTGCCACACGTATGTCCCAGGCAGGCAGGTGAAGGAAGCAGGGGACGTTTGGGTTGGTGGGCGACTGACGGGCTGGCCTAGGATGGGTCAGGGGAAGAAGAGGACTGCAGAGGTCAGGGGGCGGGGTGGGGACGGTCTGTCTGGAGAAACCTTTCCTGCATGACATCCTGCCTCTAGCCAGTGGCCAACATTTAAGGCTTCTGATCCCTGAGGGCGACTGGCCCAGCAGTCCCATCTGGCCGCTGACTCTGGAACCTCATCTTCCATGGGGTCTCAGGCAGGGTTCTTAGGGTGCAGGCAAGTTGCCACTGCCCAGTCCAGCCTGGAGGACCTGTGGGCAGGATCCGGCCTCCTGCAGAAACGTCTGCAGGAGGCAGCTGACCCTTGGGGGACCTGGCGAGGGTCGGGCCTCTGCCTTCTTGCTGGCCAGGCTGCCCTGTCTGTGCTGATTGGCTATTTGCCTGAGTTCAGATTCTCGGGAGAGAATCGGGAGAGAGTCCAAAGCTCTGGCCGCTGGCCATTACCCTGTGAGCTGTCTGCACAGCAGACAGCCTGGGCCTGGTGAGTGGGCTCTAGAAGGGGCCCTGGGGCAGGCCGCTGGCTGCTGTGTCCGCAGAGCCTCCAATGGACCATGTGTGTGACCACTAAGGCCACTGAGCAGAGTTGTCTGTGAGGAGCTTTGAGCCTGTTGTTGGGGAGTCGACGCCTATGTGTCAGAGTAGAACTGAGCCCCGTGGGGCCTGTGATGGCTGGGCCTCTGGCAGTAGGTTGGCAGGCATGTCTCTCAAGGTGTCTCTAGCTGGACTCGAACTGCCAGCCTTCTGGTTAACAGCCGAGAGCGTTAACCATTTGTACCACGCAGGGACTGCAGAGAGCTGTGGACCCCAGTGAATGAGCCTCTTCAGAGGTGAGCTGCAAGAACCTGTCTTTAAGGTTCCCAGGGTCAGGATGGAAGCCACCCCAGGACCCTGCCACCTTCCTGCCACTTGGAGTTGTCTGCTCGCCTTACTGAGCTTCCATGCTGTCTGGGCCTCTGCCTGGTGGAGGAGTGAGGAGAGAGGGTGGGGGATGGCAGCTGGGGCGAGTCCGTGGGTCCCACGGAGGAGAGTTGGGAACAGGCCGGGAGTCAAGGCCGCGTCTCACACAGCCCCTGGCCTCTGCTCTGTCCTCCTCCTGCCCCTTTCCTGTTTGGCCCCAGGGGGACTTTGTGAAGAACGTCCCCACGAACCATGGCGTGTACACGTGGCCGGACGGAAGCACCTACGAGGGAGAAGTGGTGAACGGCGTGCGGAACGGGTTTGGGATGTTCAGGTGCGGCGCGCGGCCCGTGTCCTACGTGGGCCACTGGTGCCATGGCAAGAGGCACGGGAAGGTCAGTGAGGCAACAAGGGGCCCCGCTGTGGGCGGGCGGGCTTGGGGGGGGCGGGCGGGCTTGGGGGGGGCGGGGGGGGTGTTCTTAAAAATTGGGGTGAACCACACCTGTGACTTCCAGCCAAACAAACGACAGGCATAGGAGTTGAACATTTACCTGAGGTAGATACACTCCTTGGAAAGAACAATCATGGGAGAAAGAAGGGCTGCCTATGCACAGGGAGACAGCTCAGGGGGCAGGGGTGCGTGGAAGGATGGACACAGGGAAGAGGTGACTATGGGGAGGAAGTGGGAGGGGGGAGCTGTCACATTGCGGTGAATTGTACTCAATGTCATGAGACAGTACATGTGAACTGCTGTATGGAAAGTGAATTTGCTCTGTAAACTTTCACCCAAATCTAAATTAAAAAAAAAAAAAATTGGGGTGAAATCCACACATATAGTATCACCTGTTTTAAAGAGAATGACGCTGTAGCATTTAGTGTGTTCCCAGTGGCAGCAGCCACCCCCCATCTCCAGTTCAAGATGTCATCACCCCAAGGTGAAACCCTGGGCCCCTGAAGCGGTCACCGGTTCCTCCCCCGTCCCCGGCAGCCGCCCCTCTGCTTTCTGTCCCTGCACTGCGTGCGGGGGAGACTTCGCAGAAACGGAATCCTGTGGTCTGTGGGCTCCCTCGGCTCGCATCTCTGAGGTTCATCCACGTTGTAGCAGGTGTCAGGGCTCCGTCCTCTTTTTTGGCGGATGTCAGTCCACTGTAGGGACATCTCACATCGTGTATCCAGCCTCTGGTGGTGGATCCTTGGGGCGCTGCCACCTTATGGCTGTCGTGAATAGTGCTGCAGGGACCCTTGCACTTGTGTCTGGGAGTCCCTGCTTTCAGTCCTTGTGGGTCTTTACCCAGGATAGGCATTGCTGACCCTGTGGCAGTGGTTCAAACCCACCAACCACTCCTCGGAAGGAAGGTTGGGCAATCTACTTCTGTAGTAATACCACCTCAGAAACCCAAGGAGGGGTCGCTGTGAATCGGGTCCGACTTGACGGCAGTGAGTTGTTTTTTTTTTTTCTTGTGGTAGTGGTAGCTGTGTGCTATTGCATCAGTGTTGACTCCTACACCCTACAGGACAAAGTAGAACTGCCCCATAGGATTTCGTGGGTGTTCTGGTGGCATGGTGCCTAAGGCACCTGACTGCTAACCAGAAGGTTGGAGGTTCAAACCCACCAGCCACTCCACAGAAGGACAATGGGACAATCTACTTCTGTAAAGATTTACTGACTTGGAAACCCAGTGGGGATCACCATGAGTCGGAATCAGCTCAGTGGCAGTGGGTTTGGTTTTTGGTTTGGGGAGCAAATTGCAGCCTCTTTCTCCTGTAAAGTTGCTGGTGGGTTTGAACTGCTGACTGTTTGGTTGGCAGCTGAGTACTAACCATTGCCCAGCCAGGGCTCCTTCCCGTGAAGACACACAGTCTTGGAAACCCCAAGTTTACAGAGCAAGTTCATTCTCCGTACAACAGTTCACACACGTTTTGTTTCATGACGTTGATCACCGTCCCCATAGCTAACAGCTCTTTGCAGTTCCTCCTGTGGTTCCCTTTTCCCTGTGTCCTCCTTTCCCATGGATTCCTGCCCTGTGAGCTGGCTCCCCGTGCAAATGCTGCCCTTCTGAGCTCCCATGGGTGATCGTTCTAAGGAGTGCATACCTCCTTCCTGGTGTTTTTCTTCACCTTATAAAACTAAACCCAAACTCACTGCCATCGAGTAGGATCCGACTCATAGCAACCCCTCCTTGGGTTTCCGAGGCGGTATCACTACGGAAGTAGATTTCCCAACCTTCTTTCTGAGGAGTGGCTGGTGGGTTTGAACCTCCAACCTTCTGGTCAGCAGTCAGGTGCCTTAGGCGCTACACCACCAGAGCTCTCTTGTTCACCTCACAAGCTTGTCTATTGTTTGGTGAAAGTTGAGCCGCAGAGGTGAGTTTAGTTCTGGGCTTGAAGGGTGACTAAGCCATAGTCTCAGAGGTTCCCCTGGTCTCCATCAGAGCAGTAAGCCAGGTCTTTTTTTTTCTTTTTTTAATACGATTTTTAGTTCCATATTTTTCTCCCATTCTATTCAGGACCTCCTTATTGTGATCCCTTTCAGAGAGCAGTCAGCAGTGTAGCCAGGCACCATCTAGTTCTTCTGTCTCGTGGTGGCGGAGGCTGGGGTCCACGTGGCACGTTAGGCCTTTAGACTAATAGTTTCTCAGCATCTTTGGTCTTCTTCACTCTTCTTAGCTTCAGATGGGGAAAGATGAAGAGTTGCACCTCAGATGGCTACTCACAAGCTTTTAAGACCCCAGTTGTTACTTACCAAAGTAGGGTGTAGAACAGTGTCTTGGAGGGCCATGTTACACCAATTGATGTTCACGTCCCCTGAGACCATGGTCCCGAGACTCATTCCATCCAGGTGTTTGGTGATGGCTGATAGGTTCTCCTGACTTTGCCCCCTGCGTGCTCTACTGTACTCATGGATAGCAGGATTTCTCTAGGAATTTAATTGGTTCACCACAGCGCCATGCCTTCACGTGGCCCTTTGGTATTAAGGAGTAGTTGACTGGGGACGCCATCTCGTTTTCCCTTGAGGAATGCTTTGCTCTTTTCTGGCATGGGTTCCGTCTTGCCTCAATGTCATGTGAACTTCTGTAGAGTGTGCGCTCCTTTAGTTCAGCTATTTTGAGCTTTATACTTAAAGAAGCATTAGTTTTTTGAGGCTTGATTTTTTTCCCCTCTTAAATTACTGTGTTTTAGGGCTCCATTTTCTACAATCTAGATGGCACCTCTTGGTACGAAGGAGATTGGGTTGACAACATCAGAAAGGGCTGGGGGATAAGATGGTAAGTATAATGCTGCCACATTTGGGATGTAGGGGAGAGGGTGTGGGTGGGCCCAGATAGTTTCCACGTAGGCTGCTTCAGGGTAAGGTGCAGAAGTTAGATACACATCTTCTATATAAACAATTTAAATTTAAATATTTAAAATAATCCCAATTGAATGTCCGTGGTGGTTAAAATATTTTACTGAAAATTTAGAAAAACACCATATCAAATGATGTCTCATCACACTGATCCACTGTGTTTGGTGTAGACTCTGCCTTTCTTTGGTTTCTATAATCATGGATTACCATTATTTTTTATGCCATTATTTTCGTAGCTGTATGTTTTCTAAAATTGTTGACAGGCTTGCTAGATTTTTAGATTATGCTATCGGAGTCGAATAGTCTAAAGATTAAAATATTTAGGGGCAAAATATGAACAAGTCATAAACAATATTATAGGAAATTACTTGAGATTGGGGGGGAAAGCCACTATTATCTACTCTGTCACCTGATTAAAGAGTCAGGTGGTTTACCAAAGTGATTTATTCTGACCTCAAGGTGGTGATTTGTACAACCCACACATCTATCCATTGCATTCAAATACAGGGAGTGCTGTATGGGCCCAAGAGGTAGATTTCTGAAAAGGTGCTTGGGGAGAAAGTTTCAGAGCAAGTCCTAAAAGTAAATGATGTACATGAGGTGACTAATTGTTTTTAATCTGTTCTATCCTAGTTACAGATCTGGAAACATATATGAAGGCCAGTGGGAAGACAACATGCGTCACGGGGAGGGGAGGATGAGGTGGCTGACCACCAACGAGGAATACACCGGGCGGTGGGAGAAGGGGATCCAGGTACTCTGCACGCTCGTTCTCTGCACTTTTATACCCAGATGTGAGTGCCCTGCTGAGCCTCCCTTATAATGATGATGTGAAATGTTGGTTGCTGTTGATTTGGCTCTGATACATGGCAACCTAGTTAGAAACTCAGATGACTACTGGTCTAAACCTTATGGTTTTTGTTTCATAATCTATTTTTGTTGTTGAAAATATACACAGCAGAGTATACACCAATTCAACAATTTCTACATGTACAATTCAATGACACATATTACACTCCAAACCTTACATTTTGATTGCTATTCTGTTTTTTAGTCTTCTCCAATGGCCTCATACAGAAGCTAGGTTCTGTCATTGGGAAATCCGTAACACATATAGCTTAGCAACCCTGTAGGACAGAGCAGAGCTGTCCCATGGGATTTTCAAGGCTGTAAATCTTTACAGAAGCAGATTGCCTCATCTCTCTCCCATAGAGTGGCAGGTGAGTTCAAACCACCAACCTTTTGGTTAGTAGCACGATGCTTTAACCACAGCTCCACTAGAGCTTCCCCATAAGGACAGAAACTATTATTTTATATTTTAGGAGCTACATGGAGTCCCTGGGTGGTGCAGATGGTTAAGTGCTTGACTATGAGATGGTTTGAACCCACCCACTGGTACCTTGGAAGACAGGCCTGGTGATCTGCTCTTGGAAGATCACAACCTTTGAAACTCTGAGTTGGAATTGACTTGACAGCAAGTGAAAACAGACACTACATATTTTTCTGCACAGGAAACAAAAACAACAAAACTCAACTGCTGTTAAGTCAGATCGCTCCTTGGGTTTCCGAGGTGGTATCTCTATGGAAGTAGATTGCCAAGTCTTCCTTCTGAGGAGTGGCTGGTGGGTTTGAACCACCAGCCTTCTGGTTAGCAGTTAGATGCCTCGGGCACTACGCCACCAGAGCTCCCTTTATATAGTTAATTGTATATAATTTATATAGTTAGGTATCTGATGATATCTTATAAATTGATCTTGTAATTGGCAACCTTGCTAAACTCCCATAATAGTTCCAGTAACTTTTTGTTTTGTTTTGTTTTAAATTTGTGTTGTGATTTGGGTGAATGTTTACAGAGCAAATCAATTTTCCATACAGCAGTTCATACACATTTTGTTTCATGACATTGACTGCAATCTCCATGATGTAACAGTGCTCTTCCCACTTCCTCCCTGTGGTTCCCTTTTCCCTGTGTCCTTCTGTCCTGTGCTCTCCTGCCCTCTGAGCTTTCTCGCTGTGTAAACGCTGCCCTTCTGGTCTCCATGGTTGACTGTTTGAAGGAGCGTGCCTCCATCTAATTGTTCACTTCCTAGGCCAATTGTCTGGCTGTAGGTTAAACTTGCGGAGTGAGTTTTGTTCAGGCCCGAAGAGTGACTTAGGGGCATAGTCTTAGGGGGCTTGTCCAGTTTCTGTAAGACCAGTAAGTCTGGTCTTGTTTTTTTACAATGGTTTTGAGTCTGGTTCCACATTTTTCTCCTATTCTCTCCAGGATCTCCAGTTCTGATCTCTCTCTGAGTGGCTGACAGTGGTCTCTGGATCGTGTAGACTGAGGTTCCCATGGTCCACTAGTCCCTTAAACTGATGATTTCCTTGCATCTTTGATTTTCTTCACTCTTTGCTCTGGACGACGAAAGACCAATAGTTGCATTTTCCTCTCCCAAACTATATACATAACCTGTATGTAGTCATGGGTATATTCCCATTCATCTGCCTATACTGAACATCTGGCCTGTCTACCTATGTCCAGTAGCTTCTTTTGTAGATCCTTTAGGATTTTCTATATTATGTGATCACATTTCTGCAGAGAGACTCACCTTTATACCCTTCTTTCTAATGTGGATGGTTTTCTTGGCCTCCTTATGCTGGCTGGGCCTCCAGTACAAGGTCAGGTAGGAGCAGGGAGAGCCAACATCCTCGCATTGTTTCTGATCCCAGTGGGAAGGAACCCAGCCCTCCACTCAGTGGGACGTTGCTGTGGGTTTGTTGTAGATGCTTTTATCAGGCTGAAGGAATTCTTCCTTTGCTTCTGGTTTTTCCAGACCATAAGCATGTGCTGAGCATTGTCCACAGCTCCTCCTGCACCTGCTCAGATGACCAGCAGGTGGTGCTCAGGTGGCTCCTCAGGTGGTTGACATTTTGGCTACATTAGGATCCATCTCACGTGTGCCACCCCATGTCCAGTCTGGGCCCTTAGCAGTAGTCCCCCCTGTAGTTTAGTGACTATTGTGTGTGGTGTGCTGTTCACCGTCAGACTCTCATGGGTGTATCTGGGAGTCCAGAAACAACTCCTGTGGGGAGTTTGCGGGGTCTTTTACCCAGCTCCTCCCTCCCTGTGATCTTTCTGGACCGTGGGGCTCCTCTGGTTGGTCCTCCCGTCAGAAAAAGCTGGGCTTTGAATCACCTGCTCTTCTACATGGAGTCCCTGGCGGGTGCCCATGGTTCATGTGCTCAGCTAACCAGAAAGCTGTGCGTTCAAGTCCACCCAGAAGAAAGGCCTGGAGATCTTTCAAAAAATCAGTCAGGATGGACACAGACCAATGGAACAGAAGTGAGGATGCAGATAACCCTATTCATTTATGGGCAGCTTTTCAACAAGGGGCCAAAGTCCATTCAATGGGGAAGAAGCAGTCTCTTGAACAAACGGTGCTGGCAAAGCTGGCTATTCATCTGCAGGAACATGAAACAGGATCCGTACCTCACACCGTACACAAGAACTAAGCAACCAATGGACCAGAGATGCAAAAGTCAAAGGCACAACCACACAGCTCCTGGAAGGTAAGACAGGGTCAACAGTGTGGAACCTTATGCTCTTCTTTCACTTTTATTGTGGTGAGAACATGCACACAAAGGCATTCACCAGCAGGGTCACTGACCACAGTTCATGTTGTGCCACTGTTACTGCTGTCATTTTCCAGAATATTCCAGCACCACCAGGAGCATAAACTCAGTGCTCCACAAAGAACAGCTTCCCATGTGTCCTCCTCCCTCCTGCTCCTGGTAACCACTAATAATCTGTGGGGGGTGTGTGTGTGTGTGTGTGTGTGTGTGTATACATACATATATACGTTGTTTTGTGCCGTCGAGTTGGCCATAATATATGTGTACACACATATAAAATCTTTTCTTTAAAAAAAAAAAAAACCTATGTAGCAATTTCCTCCCTTCTCCCCTCCCCTCTCTGGTAACCAGTAAGGAAAGTTCCTTCCATACATAAAGCTTTCCTTGACTTTTGACACTAAAACCAAACCATACTCACTGCCATCAAGTCAGTCCTGACTGATAGCAACTCCTCCTTGGGTTTCTGAGGTGTGGTATCTCTACAGAAGTAGATTGCCCAGTCTTCCTTCAGAGGAGCAAATGGTGGGTTTGAACCTCCAGCCTTCCGGTTAGCAGTCAAATGTCTTAGGCGCTACGCCACCAGAGCTCCCTTTTTACAACAGTGGATTAATATAATTGTCCTTTTGTAATTGACTTATTTCGCTCGGTATAATGTCCTCCAAGTTCATCCACGGTATACGGTGTTTTGCAGATTCTACATTATTCTTTAGGGTTGCATAGTATTCTGTTGTGTGTCTGTACCACAGTTTTGTTACCCATTCCTCAGCTGATGGGCACTTAGGTTGTTTCTATCTCTTTGCTACTGTGAATAGTGCTGCAATGAGCATGGGTGTCCCTGTATCTGTCCGTGTCCTGGCTTTCACTTCTTTAGGATATGTACCTAGTAATGGGATTCCTGAATCAAATGGTTATTTCTATTTCTAACTTTAAGCAATCGCCATAGTATGGAACCTAATTTTTTCAGTAATAGATTACCAAGCACAATTACAAATGCATGAGCAAGGGAGGACGAGTTAGGGAACTGGGACCTCCTAAAAATCAGATACTTACATTCATCAAAAAACTTACCAAAAGAGTAGAAAGGAGTCTACAGACTAGGGGAAAAAATCTGTGGGAATGATATATCTGGTAAGGGTCTAATCTCTAAAATACAGAAAAACCCATTGCCATCGAATTGATTCCAACTCACAGTGACTCTATAGGACAGAGTGGAACTACCCTGTAGCATTTCCAAGGCCTTAAATCTTTATGGAAGCAGACTGCCACGTCTTTCTCCTGCAGAGTTGCTGTTGGGTTCAAACTACTGACCTTTCAGTTAGTGCAGCGCATAACCACTGCACCACCAGGCTTCTTAAAATATATAGAAAACTTCGACAACAAAAGGCAAACAATCCAATTAAAAAAATGGGCAAAGGACACAAACAGACACTTCCCCAAAGAGGACGTTCAAATGGTCCACAAATGCATGAAGAGATGTCTGCGATCATCAGCCTTTAGGGAGATGCAAATTGAAAGAACAATGAGATACCGTCTCATCCCTGCAACAACGTCACTGAGCAAAAAACAAAACGGAAGCAGAAAGTAACACATGCTGGTGAGGACGTGAGCATATTGGAATGCTTATCCACTCCTGATGGGATTATAAAATGGTACGTTTTATGATGTTACATACTGAAAAACAGCATGGTGCTTCCTTAAAAAGCTAAAACCATACACCTTAGGGACCTAACAGCAGTGCCACGAGTAGACACGTGGTGACTGTGTTCATTGCAGCACTACTCACTACAGCAAAAAGACGCAGACAACCCAAGTGCCCAACAGTGGATGAGGGGGTAAACCAATGTGGTGCACACACACCGTGGAATACTACGCAGCTATGAAGAACAGCGCAGAGTCCACGAAACATCTAACGTGGATGAATCTGAAGGGACATTATGCTGAGGGGAGTAACAATATATGAAACCACCTCTATAAAAGACAGATAGGGATACCTACAGAAATCACCATTCTTTGGTGGTTACTGGGTTGAGGGGGAAGTAGGAAACAGCAGATGCTTGGTGTTTTGATGATGGGAAAGGCAAGACTGACTGTGGGTGAAGTATGCAAACTTAGCCAAGGTAAATGATGACAGTAGGAAACAGAAATGCACAGGATTTAGGGACCTCACTGGCAAATTTTGTAACATACACATTTTAGCAACAGCAGTAACAACCCAAATCCACGTGAGTACACAAGTAGGTACGTGTGCTTATCTGTGCACAGCGTGGTGTCTGTACCCATGTGCATGTGGAGGTGGGTCTGTAGGCACAGATACATAGCTGTTTGTGTGCCTCACGTGTACTCACGTACATAATAAAGCACAAAGGAGGCACAGTGACAGCTCCCAGGCCGCCGCCCCTGAAACGAGGCAGCCACACCTGTGCAGCTCAGTTCTGCTCTGATACGTGTGGGCGCCACGACTCGGAGCTGGCGCGACGTGACTGGTCCTGGTTACTCTTCTCCATGTCCCATGACTGTGTCTATGTTTGGGGCCAGATGACAGGAGACCAAGAGGAAAAAAGCACTGGGGTTTTTGCCTCACCCCCTGTGGGACCATAATCCCTCCAGGCAGACAGAAAGACTGCCCTCGAGTTCCAGACCATGCCAGCACTGTGGTGCCATCGTGGGTTCTCCTGGGAGCGGGGGTGGGAGTCAGAGTGGTGGAGCGAATAAAATGCAAAGCAGCGTTTCCCCTCCTGGCTCTGCCCACCCCTGAGCTGGAACCAGGGATGGCTCTGGCCTCTTCTGGCGCCCTGTCGCATGTCGGGCTGCCTTGAGCCCCGGCTGGTGGATGCTGAACAGCTGGAAACGTGTGCTTGTGGGCCCGTGTGGACTAAACAGCAGTGTGCAGACAATGGACCGTCGTCTATTTTGAAAAAGGAGATCTTTGTTATTTAGATGGATATGTGTCCACAATACGCTCTTAACAGGTTACAGAAGAGTATACATCAAGCCATCCTGTGACGGGAAAATCGTGTTTGTATGTATACATGTTACGTGTGGATTAGCATCTATGATTGTATGTGATTACCTGTGGAAAGGGATTGAGGAGAGGTGCTTTTATCAAATCTGTATTTAAAAAAAAAAAAATTCAAATAACGATTAATCCTCGTCGAGCTAGGCAGTTTCTGTCTTCAGTGTTTATGTCCCGTCTGTCAGGAGGGATTATGTTGGTCTCCAGGTGAAGTCAGAGGGCATGGACACCTTGCCTTCAGTCTGGTTGGGGGCTTGAACCCACGTCTGTGTGACTCCACGGTCCGGGTGCCTCTCTGCTCACTGTGCTGCCCACCTCCAAGCAGCTGCAAGATGTCACCACACAGGTTTTACCTAAGAATGTTTTATTTAAATAAGTGCTTTCTTCCCAGAATGGCTTTGGAACACACACGTGGTTTCTACAGAGGATCCCCAACTCCCAGTATCCCCTGAGGAATGAGTATGTCGGGGAGTTTGTAAACGGAAACCGGCACGGACATGGCAAATTCTACTACGCCAGTGGGGCCACATACGACGGAGAGTGGGTTTCCAACAAAAAACACGGCAAGGTGAGTGCAGACCAGTGGACTTGACCCTTTAAAGATTCTGGGAAGCAGCTGGAATCCAGTAAGAGGCTTCCCAGTCTCTGTTTGGTGACCTCCTAAGACACATATGTGAATCTTAAAATAACTTCCAACATGTCATCGATTTCCTGCCTGTTTACAGGTGTGTGTGTGCGTGTGCATGCACGCCTCTGGTAATAGCAGAATCTAGTCTGTGGCAACAACACCTGCTGTAAGTGATAAAGGGTGATAGGGCATCAGGGTTGTGACTCAGTGAGTCATCGATGCCTGTGATGCCACCTGGTTGCTTCTCATTTGCCCACCCGGTCTTCTGCCATGTCAGCTTAACGCTCACGCTGCCCCCCACCCCACGTCTGCAACATGGCTGCTGTGGCTCCAGCCCTCACGTCCACACACCCCACCGGCTGGCAGAGAAGGAACGCTTTTCTGAGGTCTCCCCAGTGTCTACAGTTTCCCTGAGCTGCACCGGGTCACTTGCCCATCTCTGAACCAGTAACTGGCTTTGTGCCTGGGTCTGACAAAGGTCAGGAAAGTCCCTATTCTTTGACAAGTCCTCTGCCCGTTCATGTCGTTGCTGGCTGCCGTCAAGCCAGCTCTGACTCCTGGCAACCCCCTGTGTGTCAGAGTAGAACACACAGTGGTTGGAAGTTGGAAACATCACCAGCCCTTTCTTCTGAGGCACCCCTAGGTGGGTGCAATCCTCCAGCTTGTCGGTTAGGAGCGCCCTAACTGCAGCACCACCCAGGGGCTAGTGTAGATCCATAAGACACAGCATGTAACTAGAGGTTAGCAGAAGAGTGCCTTAACCACCACGCCTAGATTAATAAGACACAGTCTGTGACCAGAGGTGCTTAGCACTGGGGAGAGGTTATAGGCAGGTATAGAGAGGAGAACCAGGAAGAGAGAGTTTACACAGCAACGGGACACAGCAGGAGTCCTACCTGTGGACTCAGCCAGCACCTTAAGAACAAACAAATGCAAACCCTTGAAACACACACTGATGTACAGTCTTTGTTCTTCTAAGAAAATGTTTGCTAAGCCCCTAAAAGCGACTGTTTCCTGTCTGCAGGGCCGACTAACTTTAAAAAACGGACGTGTGTATGAAGGCTCATTTTCCGGTGACCACATAGCAGAGCCTCCAAACGTTGAAAGTGACTCGGCAGCTCACCCAGACGCATGTTCAGAAGGCACCACCAAGGACGGCCAGGACTTCCTGCGCAGTGCTGGTAGGCGGGACGCACCTGTCGCTGAAAATCCACCCGACTGTGGCCTGTGCTGAGCAGGAGACAGGCGCTCCCTGTGCGGGTAGTTCCTACGTAGCTTGTTTGTAACCCTCGTGGGCCCCTCTTTCTAGAAAGCCACTTGATGCCCTGAAAGCAGCCGGAACACTTTTTCCCCGCTTTTTACGATTACGCCACGTTTGCTTTCATTTGCTAGAAATCATCAGAAAGCTTGACGGCAGTGACGGTAACTGCCCGCTGGGAACGAGCATCGAGCTGGACCTCGATTGGCTGTTGGCCGCCTACCCCGAGAAGGACCAACCAGAAGAAAAGAAGCAGGTCAAAGCCGTTTGTACGGGCATCAACGCGAATCCTAAGCTTTCAGCATTAACAGCGTCTTCATAAACCAAAGGAGCATAGTGCCTAAGGCACTTGACTGCTAACCAGAAGGCTGGCGGTTCAAACCCACCAGCCACTCCTCGGGAGGAAGGTTGGGCAATCTACTTCTGTAGTGATACTGCCTCTGAGACCCAAGGAGGGGTTGCTATAAGTCGGGTCTGACTTGACGGCCCAT